ACAAAAAAAAAAAAAAAAAAAAAAAAATGTCCAACCCTCATCTTCAAGATCATCTATTCATAACCGTTCCAAAGGTACAGAATCTGGGTTGTTGAATTTTAAAAAAATCTATCAGAATCCCTATTTTCTGTTAAGAATTACACTTACACAATACCTTAATTCAGCACATGACATAGAATGTATGCGCCATTAATGTTTAGTGAACCCGTATGAATTACTATGTCCACCATCATCTGGCCAGTCCTTCAGCCTGAACTACCATGGTGTAGGGCAGGTTCCTCAAACTGGGACTCTTTAAACGATCTGTGTACTCTCCCTAGTTTAAGTCACCCACGTACTGATACATTTATACATTTATACATATTCCCCCCACACAAACAAATGTTAGAGTCATAACAAGTTTCTACCACACTTTAAGCTTTTCTAATGTGAAGGAGATGGAGAGGCTGTCACTGCATTCTTGTCAAACACAAAGCGGAATAGACTAAGTAAAATACTACACACTCAATCCACAGATGCAGATACAGCCCTATGAGGTGAATTGAAATACGCATGAGACACCCGTAAGACCCAGAGTCATCTCGCAGCCTCTGGATGACAAGGAGAAAACAGGCTTTTAAAGCTTCTGAAAACAGCAGCTTCAGCGCTTTTACAACACCTGCTTTTACGATACCACGTGAAGCAAAGAGGCAAAACCAGCCTAGCACTACTAGGACCACAGGACCATTCACAGGCTGGGAAGCACAGACAGGCCTTGTAAACATATAATCAGGCAAACCAGGCAAACAGGCAAAGGAGGCCTTCACCTAACTTTCTTCCCGATGGCAAATGCTCGACCGAGACAAACCAAGCAAATGCAGGGTCTGCAGCAGCCAACCCCAAATAAATAACTGGAGATTTTGGCATCCCAGCCGTCCTCATCTTTAACCTTTCGGGAACGCCATCCAATACAATAGGGTCTATCTGCCACGGGACCCCATGACTCCTTGTTCCCAAGGGACACGACCACCTCCTTCCCTGGGACCTTTTCAACCCTTTCACAGACCCCGAAGCACTGACTCAGTTATTCCCGTAACTGATACTTCTACACTCCGCCACACACGTGATCGAGGTAAGCAGGCAAATTAAACAACCCTAACACGCATCCCTAAGCCCTGCCACACTAGGGTCCACACACTTCCCGAAGAGGAGCTGAACGTCACCGACCCTGGTGTCAGCCCTTCCGATCGCCCTCGGGAAGGGAGCGAGTCCCGCCCGGCCGGACACCAGCAGCTCTTACCCATTTGTCCAGGGGGACCTGGGCGAGGGAGCCGGTGCCCTGATACAGGTCCAGGCTGAGCTGCTCCAGGCTCAGCTTCTCCTGCAGGAAGTGGCCCAGGTATCTCTGCAGGAGGTACCTTCATATCTGTTTCCTGTCACTATTGATTTCATATCTTCTAAATTATTTTATAAAAATAACAATGCAATATGTACTGTCATTTGGCTTCTTTCTTTCCTATTAACTATTTGAGGATTTGTCTGTATTGGTGCACAGTCATGAGAGGATTCTCTTTTATTGCTGAAGACCCCATCGCCTGCGCCGCGCCGACCGCGCTAGGCCCGGGGGCGGACCAGGCGCTGAGGAGCAGCCGTTGCCTCTGCCAGGGAGATTCCGGTGGCTAGTCGGCCCAGAGAGGCTGCAAGACACCGCGAGGGGAGGCGACAGGGACTGTGGCAGACTCCAACGCCGCCGAGCGACAAATTTGTTGTCATCTACGAGGCGCGCTCCCGACACCGGGGACGCCTCCGGCGCGTTCGCGAGACCCAGACTTCCTGCGCGCGGTCCGCATAGGCGGAAGTGACGCCATACTGAGAGCCGGGGAGGCGGGGAAAAGGGGCCGGGCTGGAGCGGGTCCGGCGGGGGGGGGGAGGGGGGG